GGAAGTCAGGTGCAGGTAGCCCAGGTGTAGGTAGCCCTGGCTCCCCGTCTCATACTTAATATACGATATTTAAAACATCCCAGAGAGGTAAAATACACATACAGTACACTCATTATTTACCTTAAAATATATGTAGTCTTAATATAGGAAGAGAGGTGAGTAATATTTATTTGTAGGAAGTCAGTGTAGGTAGCCAGTAGGTGTAGCCCGCCTGGGCTACACCTACTGGCTACCTACACTGTGGCCCAGAGCCATATTATTAACATCGATATGCCTTGTTCACTGAATTTAATCATTTCTAACAACTACCTTTAGATGCCATCATAAACGAAGGTAGAAGTTATAAATAATTCATGCCGAAAATTGTAAACAAAAACGGAGTGAGGGAATGGCTGGGCCAAACGTAGATTCATAAACGTTTTCTCTGATGGCCGAGCAGAGAAAACGTAATGTTGTCCCTCCACCCGGCTACCACACAGGTCCACAAGTATTATTATCAGAGCACACGTAAAATATGCAATAAATGCCAGACAACAAGTTTACACTAACTTATATTAAGTTAGCAATAGAAATAGGCATTAAAAACACAATAAAAGGTAAGATACACACAGAGTACACTTATTACTTACCTTAAAATATTAATATTAATGTGTGAGAGGTGAGTGGCAGGGTGTTTATTGAATAAAATCAGAATGGCACACCATCATCCTCTAACTTGCCACTTAAAGCAAGAGGCTTACGACTTCTCTTTTTATCACAGCTAACCTTAGATGCCATCATCAATGAGAGCCAACTAGTTAACGAAAGAGTAAACAAGAGAGAGAACGAGATACAGAGTTGAGACAATGTAAGAACACAAACTGAACAGGCAATGGGCGATCACTTGGTCAGGCGAAATAAATGTGTATTAATGTGTGTCTACTTTTAGTTCATTCACGTACGTTTGTAAGAGTTTGTAAAACATTTACCTCAATATTTTTTTTATTATAATTACCTCACAATACAAATACTCTTACATTGTGTACAAGTTGTACAAGTTAGTACAGAATAAACAAACAGCAACACACCATTTTTAGAGTGAATGAAGATAATAATAATAATAATAATAATAATATTAATATTACTATTATTATTATTATTATTATTAATATTAATAATAATAATAATATTATTATTATTATTATTAATAATAAAAAGCACTAAACCCACAAGGGTCGTGAATTGCTATATATAGAGTAAAGGCATACGAAAAGAATATTTTTCTACAGTTATCCCCCAGTTTGACTAGAGAAAACATAATTCTTCCAACACTACCTACACAGCTGCTTTGTAAACAAATCTCATTTTTACATCAATTTTTATTCTGTGAGTGTATGTATCATGTTTATATGCTATGCAACAGGTTTCATATATAATTTTGAGGAAAATATCATAGATGGATTAATGAAAATGCCTATATTGATGTAAAATAAGACATTTGGTATGCCCAAGAGTGATTATTATTACGTAGTACTGGCGTCATGAGTAGAGAGAGACTTGGCGATTTTAATGTGTACCTGGACACCAGCACAGTGTGTAAGTATATTTAGGTACAGGTACACATAAGTATAATTATCAGAGTACATATAAAATATGCAGTAACTTTAAAACACTTGAAATTTTGGAAAGTTTCCTGACATAATAGATGTGGTCACGGAGAATGTAAACAAAACGGGTGGGGGGGGGCATATTTGAAAGACCGCTTGCCGTATAGCAAATTTTGGTCATAATTTGACATCGCCATATTAGCGGAACGCCATAAGGTGAAACGCCGTAAAGCGGGGCCTTACTGTATAGGGACATACGCATATTGAGGTTCTTAACCTTAGCCTGCCTGCCCACGTCACTTAATCACTCATATCTAACACACTCACGCATGCTTGCTGGAAGTCCAAGTCCAAGTCTGGAACGGATTAATTGCATATATAGTGGACCCTCGCATAACGATTACCTCCGAATGCGACCAATTATGTAAGTGTATTTATGTAAGTGCGTTTGTACGTGTATGTTTGGGGGTCTGAAATAGACTAATCTACTTCACAATATTCCTTATGGGAACAAATTCGGTCAGTACTGGCACCTGAACATACTTCTGGAGTGAAAAAATATCGTTAACCGGGGGTCCACTGTACATTATTTCTTATGGGAAATACGTGTTGCTTCAGTTTTTGTTCATTTTGGTTTTTGTTAGACTTTCTGGATTGAATTAATCATGAAAACTGAGGTTCCACTGTATTATTATTATTATTATTATTATTATTATTATCATCATAAATGAAAGGCGTGTAGAATGTAAACAAACCGAGGGCAGTCAGACAAATGCATATTAAGACCTGTCCATTTGTTGTTCATACATATTCATTTTGCATTATGCATGGTTTTGTGAATTTTTTTTTCCCACAATACAAACAACTTACATAGTGTATAAGTTGTTGTCATGTTGGTTCACTAGAATAAATAACAGCATCATTCCCATTCTCATGCAACACACCATTTTTTAACCCTTTGACTGTCGCAACCCCCAATCCTGAGGTGTCTCCTGGTGTCGCAAAATTTAAAAAAAAAAAAAAAAAATTTCTTATGAAATGATAGAGAATCTTTTCCCGATTGTAATGCCACCAAAAAAAACAAAATTTGATGGAAAACCGACGGAATTATGCTCTCGCGAAGTTAGCGACCTCGGCGCTGTTTACAAATCTGCTATTTCACCCACTTTGAGCCCTATTTTCGGCTAATTCCATTGTTCCAGTCGCTCAAACTCATAGCTATTTCTTTAGAACTCCATTTTTTCTATCGATTGAGTACAAGAAACTGCCCATTTACCGATTTCAACTACCTAATAATGTGGTCAGAAATTTGCAATTTGGCCAATTTCACGAAAACTAAAGAATATGACAATTTCAAAATAAGGTCCAGAATGAACAATGCAGACATTCCTGGCTCTAAAATAACATTTTCTTTGCTCATCAGTCATGTCTCCAGGCCCCTCTGATATTACTCTTGCTTTCTATTTTGAATTTTTATTCAAACAAAAAATAGAAGACTTACTATTATGCAGACTACTGCAATACTGTAATAATTGTATAAATAACATCAACCCATTCTTGACTGCATATTAGAATGGCTAGTTGGAGATTTATTGGACAATGGCATCATTTGTTTACTTTTGAACATTGGCAAAAATCAAACATTTCCCCTACTTTGAGCTCCATTTCTAGGTTCTTTTATAGTAAAATCAACCAAAATCACCTCTATTTCTATAATTTGTTTTCCATTCTATCAAATGAGACCAAGAAAACGAGAATACAACCATAAATACTATACGAAAATAGACCACAAATTCGGCATTTTAATTAAAAACAAACGGTCGGAGTTTTTTTTTTCTCATTATGCACTGCGTGCTCCAGGATTTTTTTTTATATGGTGCACACTGACCACACAGACCCATTCTCTCACATGTGGGCCTACCAGCTTTCTCCTGCTTGATTTGAAGCCGCTAGAATTTATGAGTATATATACATCAAACACGGTACCTCGTAAGACGTATATATACGGCCGCGACAGTCAAAGGGTTAAAGTGACTGATGATATGAGTGAAGGCATATGAATGGAATAATTTTTTACAGTTACCTCCATTAATACTGTACTGTATACAGCTTCTCTTGTGTTGGGCTAGAGAAAACGTAATTCTTGCCGTCACTCCTACATGCCACCTGGCTACACATCTCATATTTATGTCAATTCGTTCCACTATGGTTGTATGTATTATGCTTGTGATATGTAGTGTGTTTCTAATGAAAATGTCTATATTAATTTAATATACAGTAGACCATCATTTAGCATGAGTTTATTTGGCACGATTTGGGTATAGCATAATTGAAGAATTGCGGCACAATTTTATCTAACACATTGTAAAATTAATTTAACACGGTTCAGTTTGTGGGAAGGAAAAAACAAATTTCCTTTTCCTCAAGCGGCCACCTTGTTGTGGATCAACCGTGAAGACCTCCTGCCATGCTCACCCCCTCTTTCCCCGGACACCACCCCACCATCCCAGCATTCGTACCTCATACGTGTCAAGTCCAGTCCTCTGGACTTTAATTACTCTATCTTGTATCTGCCAAGCAATCATGACACCCAGTAGGCATACCAGTATTGCTGAAAGTGGCAAGAAAAGGTAAAAGAATTTAAATCTTAGAATTAACGAAGAAAACAAAGATATTAGACAAGAGATAACCATAATGAAGGGTTACTTTGTACACATAAAAAGAGGTAAACATGAGTTTGTGTGACTGACTTAGTGAACGACTGACTGACTTGACTGAATGACTTACTGACTTGACTGAATGACTGATTGAACGACTTAAAGTTAGATCCTCCAGTACAACCATTGACTTTTGTACCAGAACCTCTACCATCCACCTCAGCCCATTAGGGCCACATCATAACTCCATTCTTGAAAGTCATCCACAAACACCAGCACCCACAATTTAAGGTAAGAAATAATATTATTTCTGTTACATTTGTAGCCTTAACCAGTAAAAACAACATAATACATCACAGCAATGAACTACAATTACATATTCACTTTTATTTTTGTAAGATGTTGAGGCCTAAAAAAGTTGTTTGGCTTTTTTGGGGCTTCCAGGAATGTAACCCTATTTTTCCCATAAATTCTTCAGTTCATCTAACACTGTTTTTATCTAACATGGCATTTTCAGGAACGTAACTACCGTGTTAAATGACGGTATACTGTACAACATTTAAATTGTGGGATACCCAGAAAAAAATTCCTGTGTGTGTAGGAAGATTTTGAAAAAAATATAAAATTGTTCTTTATAGCATGAAAGTCCATATTTTTCTGAATCAGATAAGACTAAAGTGAGTGGAATCTGATAAAAGATTTACAGTTTTAAGGATGGATGTGGATTTTACCATTGATCATTTGCTTTTTTTGGCAGGATGATGGTACACCTCCAGATTTGCCTGAAGGATTCTACACATTGCCAGGCCCTGAACCCGGAACCTTCACATTAAGGAAACGCAGATACCGCAACATTAAAACATTAGGTTGGTTTTATTTATCAGTGTATGTGTACTGATTATCATATGTAAAACTATATTTTGCCTTGTCATTTTAATACTAAACATATTAAATTTGTTTCCTTTGGCTCTGTTAAAAGATTTGTTTGTTTACTTCATTTTTCAAATTAGGCATTGGAGGTTTCCAAGTTCGGGCGCGGGGTAAAAGAGAAGAGGAGAAAGCACGAGAAGAGGCTACCTTAGATCCTCAAGTGTTGGAGCTTCGGCGGAAGAGAAGTAATTGGCGCACAAAAAAGAAAATAAAGCTTCTTGAGAAGTTTCCATCTTACATTCAGGTTGCAATCTATATCTCTGTTTAAGTGATATATATAACCTTGACAAATGAACTGGTTTGTCAGAAACTCTTCATAAATGTTACCTTGCTCACATTTCAGAAGCACTTATATTAAAAAGCCACTTGGCTCCATTCACTTTTGTCTGACATGCTCACACAAGCCTGCTGAATGTTCAAGCTCCCAAAATTCAAAGCCTCCTTCACCCCGTCCCTTCAACTATTCCTGGGACGACCCCTTCCTTTGCTACCTTCCACCTTAGATAGATACAATTTGCCATTCTATCCCTTTCCATCTTCTTTACATATCTATACCACTTAATTAAGCAACCCCTTCTTAGCCCTCAGACTTGTCCCCTTTGGTGACCCTAACATTGTCTTTTAATTTCCACACTTAACTTTCTGCATAATATTCACATCACACATTCCTCCTAAACATTCCATCTTCTCTGTCTTTAGTTGCTTCCTTATTGCAAAAATCAAAACCCATGTCTCACACCCATTGTAAAGTGTTGCTACCACTATGTTCTGATACATTTTTTTTTCCTCCACTGATTGTTTTCTTTTCATAGATGCCTCAGTACAGTATTTGACTTTTTTTTTACCTCCTGGTATGTGGTAGAGTTTGATTTTGTTCTGATGGCTGACTTTGTATGGAAGGAGGTTTGGTAATAGGTAATATATATTTTAAGGAAAAGAAGAAAAATAAGTATACAAGATATGATGTAGGGCATAATGACAATTTGTTGAACTATGTATTGGTAGTTAAGAGGTTAAATAACAAAAAAAGGCACAATACCGTGACTGGAACGATACACAAATAACCCGCACATAAAAGAGAGAAGCTTACGACGACGTTTCGGTCCGTCTTGGACCATTGACAAAGTCACACTAACCAGAAGTGGAGCAGGACGGCTATATATAGGCAGGAAGAGGTGGTGGTAGTAGTAGTAGTACCAGAATGGTATATAATACCGACAAGATGAAATTAAGACACATGCGCAACACCCGGGCATCCCTATCGTAGACGTTTCGCTATCCAGCCAGCCACTGGATGGCGAAACGTCCACAACAAAGACAACCAGACGCCGCACATGTGTCTTAATTTCATCAGTAGTTGTAGTAGTAGTAGTAGAAGAGGTAGTAGTAGTGGTAGTGGTAGAAGTGGGAAATAAGGAGGACGAACCAGTCAAATACAAAGGAAGGGGAGCACTGCAAGAGAGCTAGGTGCCCACTGAGGGAGAGCAAGCGCACAGAGGTGCATGAAAGGGGAAGTAGGAAATAAATGAAGAAGGAACAGAAACACGAGACAGAAGAGAGAAAGACAACCCAGAGGAGAAAAGGAAAGAGGAAAGGGGAAGAGGGTTGTCTTTCTCTCTTCTGTCTCGTGTTTCTGTTCCTTCTTCATTTATTTCCCACTTCCTCTTTCACGCACCTCAGTGCGCTTGCTCTCCCTCAGTGGGCACCTAGCTCTCTTGCAGTGCTTCCCTTCCTTTGTATTTGACTGGCTCGTCCTCCTTATTTCCCACTTCTACCACTACCACTACTACTACCTCTTCTACTACTACTACCTCTTCTACTACTACAACTACTACTACAACTACTACTACAACTACTACTACAACTACTACTACAACTACTACTACAACTACTACTACAACTACTACTACAACTACTACTACAACTACTACTACAACTACTACTACAACTACTACTACAACTACTACTACAACTACTACTACAACTACTACTACAACTACTACTACAACTACTACTACAACTACTACTACAACTACTACTACAACTACTACTACAACTTACTACATACAACAACTACTACTACAACAATACTACTACTAACTACTACTACTACTACTACTACTACTACTACTACTACTACTACTACTACTACTACTACTTACTACTACACCACCACCACCACCACCACCACCACCCACCACCACCACCACCACCACCACCACCACCACCTCTTCCTGCCTATATATAGCCGTCCTGCTCCACTTCTGGTTAGTGTGACTTTGTCAATGGTCCAAGTCGGACCGAAACGTCATCGTAAGCTTCTCTCTTTTATGTGCGGGTTATTTGTGTATAGTTAAGAGGTTGATTGGTAGACTTCAAGATGTGCATCTTTATAGGGGGCCAACACATGCATCAAATCATTATTTAGTTGTAACTACAGTGAGAACAAGAGGCAGATGGGGTACAAGGAAAATGGCATCAATGAGTAAGAGAGGTGAACTTTTAAAATCCGAAAAAAGGAGGTAGTTATGGTACGATATAAGCAGTTATTTGGAGAAAGATAGGCTAATGAGAGTATGGGTAATAAGGAGATTGAAGAGCTATCGGGTAGATTTAAGAATACAGTAGAAGTTTTTGGATATAGGAGGGTAGGTATGGGAGGGAAGAAGAGTAATTGGTGGAAATGATGAGGTAAGGGCAGTGATAATGGAGAAAAAGTTAAACTTATGAAATGTTTTTACAAAGTGGAAGTGATACAAGGAGATTGGAATATATGGAGAGTAAAAGAGAGTGGTGAGGGAGTGTAAAAGGAGAGCAAATGAGAGAGTGGGTGAGGTTCTGTCCAAAAATTTTGCTGAGAATAAAAAAAAATTAAGAGTGAGATTAATATGTTGGGAAAGATTAGACAATGAATGGATTTGACAGCTAAAAACAGAAGAAAGGGGGTTATTAGATAGGGAGTTGGAGGTATTGGGAAGATGGTGGAAATAGAGGAAGAGGAGGAAATGAAGGAAGTTATTTCATGCATTATTTGAGAGTGAGAGAGAGCCAAATGTTAGTGTGGTGGAGGTGATTAAAGCAGTGTGAAAATATTTAAAAGGGGTAAAGCAGTTGGGATTGATGGAATGAAGACAAATGTTAAAAGGAGGTGGGAATATAGTTTTGGAGTGGATAACACTTTTGTTCAATAAATATAAAGAATGAAAGATGCATAGGGATTGGCAGTATGCATAATTCCTTTGTGTAAAGGATAGGGGTACAAAGGAATTATAAGGGAATTAGACTGTTAAGTATACCAGGTAAAGTGTGTGGTAGAGTTATTAACAGAGAACAAGATCACAGATGAACAAGAAGGCTTTAGGAAGGGTAAGGAATGTGTTGGCCAAGTGTTCACATTTAAACATTCACTGAAAGCAGTTAAGAGTTTTTATGAGTATAGTGAGGCTCAGGTTAGGGTATGTTGAAGAGAGGGATGTTTGTTTCTTTAATTCGTGTAAAGTGCTAAACCCATGTGGGGTCATTCAGTGCAAAATGTGGTGGAGGAGGTTTGATCCTCTATCTGCTGAACACCAGACAGATGCACTTCCTAGTAAAATTAGACTTTAGACTGGGATGTGCGATGTCATTATGCTTGTTTAACATATATATAGATGGAGTTGTAAAAGAGGTGAATGCTGGGGTGTTGGGGAGAGGGGTGGGATTAAAATATACAAAATCTAGTTCGAAAATGGGAGTTGTCAAAGTTGGTTTTGCTGATGACACTGTGCTTTTGGGAGATTCTGAAGAGAAGTTGCAAAGGTTGGTGGATGAATTTAAGAGGGTGTGAATGGAGACGAATGATACTTGGGACCTGACGATCTGTTGGAGTGTGAGCAGGGTAATATTTAGTGAAGGGATTCAGGGAAACCGGTTATTTTCTTATAGTCGGACTTGAGTCCTGGAAATGGGAAGTACAATGCCTGCACTTTAAAGGAGGGGTTTGGGATATTGGCAGTTTGGAGGGATATGTTGTGTATCTTTATACGTATATGCTTCTAAACTGTTGTATTCTGAGCACCTCTGCAAAGGCAGTGATAATGTGTGAGTGTGGTGAAAGTGTTGAATGATGATGAAAGTATTTTCTTTTGGGGGATTTTCTTTCTTTTTTGGGTCACCCTGCCTCGGTGGGAGACGACCAACTTGTTGAAAAAAAAAAAAGTGTAAAAGAATGAAATTAAAGGTGAACACATGAAAGAGCAAGGTGATGTACAGTGTAACAAACAATTTAAGTTAAGAAAGATTGGATATCATATTGGAAGGAGAGAATATGGAGGAAGTGAGTGTGTTCAAATATTTGGGAGTAGACTTGTCAGAAGATGGGTCTATGAAAGACGAGGTGAACCCAAGAATTGGCACGGGGGGAAAAAGGCGAGTGGTGCACTGAGGCAACTGTGGAGACAAAGAATGTTATCCCTGGAGGCAAAAGGGGGAATGTATGAGAGTATAGTGGTACCAACACTTTTTTATGGCTGCGCAGCATGGGTTGTGAATATTGCAATGAGGAGGCAGCTGAAGGCAGTAGAGATGTATCTGAGGGCAACGTGTGGTGTAAATTTGTAGTTTGGAGATTCGGAGGAGCTTCAGGATTACTAAAAGTTTTATTCTAAGGGCTGAGGAGGGATCATTGAGGTGGTTCAGACATTTAGAGAGGATGTAACAAAATAGGATGACTTGGGGGGGGGGGAAGGGTAGGGGTAACCTTAGGGAAGGTTGGAGGTAGGAGGTAAAAGAGGTTTTGTGTGTAAGTGGCTTGGACATCTACCAGGCATATGTGAGAATTTTTTTATTATTATCACACTGGCCGATTCCCACCAAGGCAGGGTGGCCCGAAAAAGAAAAACTTTCATCATCATTCACTTCATCACTGTCTTGCCAGAAGGGTGCTTTACACTACAGTTTTTAAACTGCAACATTAACACCCCTCCTTCAGAGTGCAGGCACTGTACTTCCCATCTCCAGGACTCAAGTCCGGCCTGCCGGTTTCCCTGAACCCCTTCATAAATGTTACTTTGCTCACACTCCAACAGCACGTCAAGTATTAAAAACCATTTGTCTCCATTCACTCCTATCAAACACGCTCACACATGCCTGCTGGAAGTCCAAGCCCTCGAACACAAAACCTCCTTTACCCCCTCCCTCCAACCTTTCCTAGGCCGACCCCTACCCCGCCTTCCTTCCACTACAGACTGATACACTCTTGAAGTC